AAAAAAAAAAAAAAAAAAAAAAAAAAAAAAAAAAAAAGTAGAGGTCCTGGCTAGTGGTGGTGGCATGGGCCTATAATGCCAGCTACTCAGGAGGCTAAGACAAGAGGAATCACTCGAGTCCAGGAGTTGGAGGCTGCAGTGTTTTATGATGGAACATGAGAGTAGCCATTGCACTCTAGCCTGGGTAACAACACGTCAATGCCCCTGCCCCCCTCCAAAAAAAGAAGGTAGAAGTCCTAAAGAACAACTCTGAGAAGAAAGGTGGCTGTTTTAGAGACCTATACAAAACCGTGTTTGCCAAAAGCTTTTTAAATTACATATTTGGCCATGCACACTGCTGCACGTATATAGTTCCAACTACTAAGGAAGCTGTAGTGGGAGGATCACTTGAGCTCAGCAATTACAGACTAGATTACACAAAATAGTAAGACACCATTTCCAAAAAGCAATTTTTTTAGGCCAGGCATGGTGGCTCACGCCTGTAATCCCAACACTTTGGGAGGCTGAGGCAGGAGGATTGCTTGAGTCCTAGAGTTTAAGACCAGCCGGGGCAATATAGTGAAACTCTATCTACAAAAAGTACAAAAATAACCAGGTTTGGGCCGGGCGCGGTGGCTCAAGCCTGTAATCCCAGCACTTTGGGAGGCCAAGGCGGGTGGATCATGAGGTCAAGAGATCAAGACCATCCTGGTCAACATGATGAAACCCCGTCTCTACTAAAACTACAAAAAATTAGCTGGGCATGGTGGCGCGCACCTGTAATCCCAGCTACTCAGGAGGCTGAGGCAGGAGAATTGCCTGAACCCAGGAGGTGGAGGTTGCGGTGAGCCAAGATCGTGCCATTGCACTCCAGCCTGGGTAACAAGAGTGAAACTCTGTCTCAAAAAAAAAAAACAAAACAAAACAAAAATAACCAAGTTTGGTGGCATGCACCTGTAGTCCCCACTACCCAGGAGGATGAGGTGGGAAGACAGCTTGAGCCCAGGAGGTCAAGGCTGCAGTGAGCTGGCATCATACCACTGCACTCCAGCCTGGCTAGAGTTTGTTGAGCTCTTACTATGTACCAGGCACTGTACAAAATATATTAGCAAATATCCTCAAGACAGTGCCAATGAGTTAAATTTTATGAGCCTCATTTTATAGAATAAAATGAAGCTTAAAAAGAGTAAGTTGCCCTCTTAAAAAATTCTTTTATTAAAAAAAGTGATATATTTATTCTTTCTTTTTTCTTCAAAGAGACAGGGTCTTGCTATGTTTGCCAGGCTGGTCTCGAACTCCTGGGGTCAACCAATCCTCCTGCCTCAGCCTCCCAACATGCTGGGATTACAGGCATGAACCACCATGCCTGGTCTAGTAAGTTTTATATTCAGAGAAGAACTCATGCTACTTAACTATAGTCACTTCTGATACATCTCTACGAGAACTACATTTGCCACTAGTTTATTATTTACTTGCACAGATTTACAAGGTTAAAAATAGACTTAAATAAAGATAAGAATGGGAGGCATTGTGGAATTGTGCTTAATGAACAGTCAAGAGTTTTAAAGTAAGGCCAACCTAGCTTTAAATCCCAGCAGCTCTACTATTTGCTGTGACCTTAGGCAACTTACTTACCCTCCTTAAGCTTCATTTTATTAATCTGTAAAATGAGGACCATAAAACTTACTTCACTGGCACTGTCTTAGGATAGATGCTAATGTATTCTATATAATGCCTGATATATAAGAACTCAAGAAGCCGGGCACAGTGGCTCAAGCCTGTAATCCCAGCACTTTGGGAGGCCGAGGTGGGTGGATCACGAGGTCAAGAGATCGAGACCATCCTGGTCAACATGGTGAAACCCCGTCTCTACTAAAAATACAAAAA